CCTTACAGGCAGCTGCCTGTCCAGTGTAGGAGGGGGAGGGCGAGGAGTATTAGAAGCCACTGTGGAGGCAGGGCTGGCAGGATCACTAAGGTGTTACTTTTGGGGCGGGCTCCCTCATTGCTTTAAGCACCTTGCAACCGCTGCTGCACCTGACAGACAACCGCCTGTTAGGTGTAGGAGGTGGGGGGAGTGTGTTGGAAGCCATCCCACCTCCTCTCCTACACCTGACAGGCAGCTGCCTGTCCAGTGTAGGAGGGGGAGGGGGGAGGAGGATTGGAAGCCACTGTGGAGGTGGGGCAAAACCTGACAGACAACTGCCTGTTAGGTGTAGGAGGTGGGGGGAGTGTGTTGGAAGCCATCAGAGAGGCTGAGCCAGCAGCTTTGCTTCACCTCACAGGTGGTTCTTGGCCACTCCTGATTTCCTCAGCTGTCATTAGCTCTGTGCAGTCCCCTGTAACTGTTGGGGTTTTTTTACTTCAGAACACTGAGCTCTGCAGCTGACCAATCAGAGAGTGGGGGGTGTAGAAAGGTAGCCGCCTGGAAGTCACATAGGAATCAATGGGGGAAGCACATTTTCCCCCTTTTGACCCACTTAGGGGTGGAATTTCTCAAAATCCCTTCTTAACAAGCACCCATGCCACGGTAGGAGCGCTTTCCCAGAATTTGGTGTCTCTAGGTCCAGCGGTTTGGCCTGGTTGTTGATTTTACCGTGAGGGGACTTTCTTTTCTATAGATATAAGCTTTTGTGTGCAAAGCACACTTCTTGTTCCATTTATCCGAAGAAGTATGCTTTTGTACACCAAACCTTATACTTTGACTAAAGCTTCATTGGTCTTAAGGGTGCCACTGGACTCCAACTTTGTTCTTGTGTTATGAATGTTTGCCTTGTACATTATCTTTGAAAGGTCACTGATAAAAATGGTTTGTATGAGTTTGGGAATATCCTCACATAAGTATTCCATTTAAAATACATAACCCGAAAGTAAACTCTGTATTTGGACTGGCTAATCTGTATCAATTCTGAAAGATTACTGGAGCTTTTATTTTGAAATGTTCTGTCAGTTTGAACAAGCCTTTGATATTTAGTAGGGGAGAAGCCACGAGGCCATAAAACGTTTTCCTGCTGTGCAATTTTCTAATCTCTTGTTATTGCTATGGGAATTTTAGTGCCCTTTTTGCTTTCCCTGAATAAACTAAAATGGAGCCCAACCTTTAGATATTCTTCTGGCCTGGCCAAATCATGCAGAGCAATGAGATGGTGATCAGGTGGCAGAATGCTAAGTTTGTAGAAATGACTGTACCACTTATGACTGCAGGGAAAGGTTTGCATATTTTTCACAGTTCCCCAACATTTCATAATACCTTATAAATTGAAAACTAGCACATCCTGTGAAGGGCTGAACTCTTTCTCCCTGGTGTGCTAATTTTTATTGGTAGGAAGTATTTTAAATGTGGGGAGTATTAAAACTGTTTCTCTCCCCTGCTACAGTCTGAAGTGGTATAGGCCATATCATACTGCATCAGGATTCCTCCACTTCCGCTTGCATGAAGGGTGATGAAGCAGACTGTTTGGGTCAGCTGAATTGGATTTACACTGTGAAAAGTCCTTAGACTTACTTCGGGATTTCAGCTCTAAGACTTTTATTTAGTAAGAACAAGACAAGTTTTCCCGGCTCGCAGGCCGGTTTATATCCCCTGAAAACCCCACACCCAAACACACCCAACTCAAGTCATTGGCTATTTACAGTGGCCGAGAGTTCCATAGGCTCTCAGCTGGGAGCCTAGCCCTCCGATTGGAGCGGGCTAGGATCCTCTAGTCCATTGTTCCTTGGAGCGAAGCTCAGAGGTTTAGCCTGACAACGTGGAGCCTTTGTGTCGAACGAGGTCTGAGATAGGTATATTACACCCCTCCCCCCTTGGTCCGAAAGACATCCGCATACATAGTCCTTTAAATATGCCAGAGCCTTACGTTCCCTCGTGGAGTGGTGTGTTGCTGGAGTTGTCGGGGAAACCGGCGCCGGTGAAGCAGGCGTTGTTCCCTGGGGCTCATCCGAGGCAGCCAGGGAATCTGCAGGCTAGTTGACTGGTGTTGGGGGTGCGGTCTCCGGTGGGCTGGCGATCACTGGTGGTGGCTGTCACTCCGGGGGCTCGGATTTGTCTGGCTCCTCGGGGTCCTCTGGTTCCAGAGGCAGCACTTGCTGATGTAGTTGGTCGATGTATCTGTGGAGCACCATTCCGTCCTCACAGGAGACCTCGTACGAACAGGTGCCCATCTTAGTGACAGGAGGAGGAGGAGACGGCAGTTGCTCAGGTGCAGCGGCAGTGGCAGTGGCGGCCGATGAAGAGGTGGAGGTAGAGGTGGCGCTGCGCTTGGAGTCAGCAATCCCTGGAGCGGTGTGATGCGCGGTGACCGGAGAAGCGGGACACGAGGCGCGGCAGCGCCGTGCGGTGCTCTCGGTGCTGAAGCGTGATGTGATGCTCGTCTCGTGGTCATTGTTCATGGAAGAGAGATTAGCATCCCACCTTCATCGCCAGTGAAAAGTCCTTAGGCTTACTTCATTTCAGCTCTAAGACTTTTATTTAGTAAGAACAAGACACGTTTTCCCAGCTCGCAGGCCGGTTTATATCCCCTGAAAACCCCACACCCAAACACACCCCACTCAAGTCATTGGCTATTTACAGTGGCCGAGAGTTCCATAGGCTCTCGGCCGGGAGCCTAGCCCTCCAATTGGAGCGGGCTAGGATCCTCTAGTCCATTGTTCCTTGGAGCGAAGCTCGGAGGTTTAGCCTGACCACGTGGAGCCTTTGTGTCGCACGCGGTCTGAGATAGGTACATTACACACTGTCACTACTCTGTGTTGAATGATGCTGACAATTCAGAGCAATTAAACTCAGCACAGAACCTTAAGGCACCATAGGCTTAGCTCAGGCCTGGTTTTACAGGCATAGAGCTTGTGGTAGCTGAAAAAATTTGTTGTTCAATCACACAGTCGAGTCCGACTCTTTGCGATCCCATGGACCAGATCACGCCAGGCCTTCCTGTCTTCCGCCATCCTCTGAAGTCAGAATTCAGGTTTTTAGCATGTTTTGGGAGTGTTAGAAAATGAACATTTTCACGGAGATGGTGAAAGTTAAATTGCACTTGTAGAAGTTATAATGCACAACTGGTTGGTACTGTCCATAGACAGACTGTTACCCCAGCCACTGTGCATCCTGGTCATTATGATTAGTTTACTTTTCCATATGTTTTTGAATTCTACATTAGTTTCTGCCATCACATCTCTTGGAAAGACTCGTTGGACATTTGACCTTGACCATCTGTACAAATATAGACCTTATGCAGAAGTACCAACTGTATTCACCATTGTACTCCTAGCACTTTTCTTGTGTGACCCATGTTGCTATGCTTAAACTGAGCATGATGTTTGTCATTCCTACTTTTCAATAACAGATCTCAGTAATATCTATCTAAAATATTTTTATCATACCCTTCCTCACAGGGGCTCAGCATGTCATATATGGTTCACCTTTTCCACATTAAATGTCTCAATAATTCTATAAAATAGGTTAGACAGACTGGCCCAAGTCCATCCAGTGATAGGGTTGCCAGGCAGCTGGGAGGAGAGTTGTGGGGGCAGCATCCTGAGAGAAAAATCAAAAAGAAAAATAAGGCCTTGTCTACTTACAGGAAATCCCTACCATAGAGTTCCTGACAATACTTCATGCTACCCAGAAGTGACAAAGGTAGCTCTAGCAATCACCATAAACTATGGTAATCCTGCTTGGGCTCACTGAGACCCACCAACTCTATGGTAATCCTGCTAGAGCTAAGCTTGTCACTTCTGGGTAGCTGTAGGAATTCTCAGGAACTCTATGTCCATAACTTCCTATAAGTAGACGAGGCCTTATTTTTCTTTTTAAATTTTTCTCCACAGAATGATCAGGCAGTCCCCCTTTGGCCCCCGTTTCCACCCTCTGATTAGCTGAACATGGGAGGGCAAAGTCTGCAACTGCCTGAAGGTCTCCTGCCATAAGTGGACAAATGAGAACATGATTCTGCAATCTTCACAGCAAAGTGAGGATTTGTACCTGGATTTTTCAGATCCACGCTGGCTCAAAACATGAAAATACCTCAAAGCTTCTCTCATGAGCATCTGCAAAACATACAATTGTGAAGGGCTCAGTGCATCAGTAAAGCAAAAAAGAGATTATCTTTGGCCATGTATGGACTGTGTCCCTTTCATTTCTGTTTAACATATATCTGGGTGTGGTGGGAAGGGCTTCCTGGGGGAGAAGATGCTCTGATTTTTCTTATTTTAGAAATGTAGCCAGTGCTTGTCAGTGTCCATCAATATTCCCTGCTGGCAGTTCTGTTTCTATACTTGTATGTATATAGACTAAGATAACTCAATTTAATTCTAATTGACTCAGAGAATTTGGCTAATACTTGCCACCAAAACCCTATCAATTATTTAACAGTTAAATGAATGAGATTGAAATGCATAAATAACACTAAGCAAAAGGGAAGTGTTCTTTTTTTGAGAAAAAAAAAGATCCTTCTCTGGAAAAGGCTTTTCCTGTGGCAGTTACAATGCAGTAAATTGTGTGGGTGCAGAACTACTGTCGACTAAAGTACCGGGAGAAAAAAATCCTACATTGAGAAGATTTGAAATCTCATCGCAAGGAAACAGTGAAATGGGAAATGCTGTCTTCTAGGTAACAAAAATCTTCAGTTTCTTTTCTTGATACTGAAATGTAGGTCTGATGAATAGTGCAATAGAGTGAAGATGTACTAAAACCCCAAATCTTTTGTGTGTAAAGGCTGTTGAAATATCTAGATGTATTTTTGAGAAATAGGATGTTATCTCTCTCTGTTTTGACTTGGAGTTGGCTAACCTAAAAAAAAAATCAATTTGCCTTGTCAATGCTTCCTGGAGTAGAATTCCACTCTTTGGTCCTTATCCCAGGTAAGATGATATTTGCAACTGTGCTATTATTTTTTAATGAACAAAATTAAATCTGTGAATGAGCCCATTATTGCTCAAGCATTTTTGGGTACCTTTGAATATAAATTGGTTGTTATGGAGACTGATAAAAATAAATGCTGATATTTTGCCCTGGGTTCATTCCTTCCAGCCTGTTGAAGAAAATTGAACGAGAAACATGGAGAGAAAGTGGCGTCTCATTAATTGCTACTGTAACCCGCCTAATGGAGAGGCTGCTGGACTACAGGTGAGCAGTCATTGCATGCTCTGCAGCAAGGAATACAATTGTCTGAAAGCCGAATGTGAGCATTTTCCTATGGAAGACTATCATCATCAAGAATATCAGAACCAAAACAAGCAACATATTCTGAGCAATCTAGATATAACAGTGATTTAGGGATTTTCTTGCTGTTGTTATACAGCATTTAGGAAACAATTGTATTTAAATATTAAAACTACTGTTCAGGAATGTCATTTGGTTCAGCTTTCCTAAAACGGGATACATGTAAGGTCATGTGTATGAATGTTCCTCCCCCCCCCCATAATTTTTTTTTGTATTGTGGAGGACTTGCCCGCTAAGGACAGGTTCCAGCCTAGTTTCTCTCTGACATCCTAGTTTTCACAGTACACGGAGGGGTTTTTTTTAAATAAGGGGTGCATTCTTTTTTCTGATTAATCCTGTACATTGCGTACTACAATCCTCACTCTGTTTTTGCACCCAAGGAAAGCTGTGGCAACAGAAACAGGAATGCAGGACAAAATGTATTAGGCTCTGTACAATTGGCAGAAAGCGAGCCAAGTCTGTGGCCTAAAAATATTGCTAAATAGATGAAGAAGACAAGAGATGCAGCTAGCAGTTAGTCTCCAGTATTTTTTAGCAGATCAATAAAAGTAAGTCACAGAGGATGAATCCAAAAAATAGGAGGACACTTGAGGTATTTGCATTCATCAAGCTAAGCGTCTGATGATGCCAATTCACTGTGTAGTCTATAATGTAATGCAGCGGGTGGGTAGTGCTTATGGGCTTGCTGTATCTCGGAAGAACTGTGTTGGCAATGGAAAAGACCTCTAGCTCTGCACTGTGTATTATTGGTACTTCCTGTAATTTTTAGATTCTATTTGCTATCTTCATAGAAGTAGAAAGTACTTCACATATATACACCCTTACAGTATTACTAGGCCAGTCACAGAGATTAGGTATGTGATCCTACACTTACTTTCTCTTTTGTATCCTCTGTATCTGCAGTTTCATGAGGAATGTCACTCTGTTTTCCTTGAATAACAGAAATCTATACACTAGTTGCTACCCTTGCTTCAGTTTCCTAACTAGTGTGGGCAATGCCTGTTCACTGGAGTTTTTTCAGATTAGGAAAATGGCTTGGGCTGGAAAACCTCCCTCCCTCATGCTATTGTCATGACTAGAATTAATGCCCAGCTAGAGTTGCCAGCCTCCAGGTCAGGCCCGTAGCCAGGATTTTTTTTAAAATTCAGGGGGCCTTTAAACAAGTTGGGGGGCACCCTACACCCCCCCCAAGGGAGCGCCACAAATATAATAAAAAAACTGGAAGTCGGGGGGGCTGGATAGGAAGTCTGGGGGCCTTAGCAGTAAGTCAGGGGGCCAGGCCCCGAGATGCCCCACTGTAGCTATGGGCCTGCTCCAGGTGCTGCCTGGAAATCTCCTGAAATTACAACTGAGCTCTAGACTACAGAAAATGTTCCTCTGGAGAAAATGGCTGCTTTGGAGTGTAGAATCTATGGCATTATAACCTGCTGAGGTCCCTCCCCTCCCCAAAGCCCACCTTCCCTAGGCTCCACTCCCAGGTCTCCAGGAATTTCCGGACTCAAAGTTGGCAACTCTACTCCCAGCTGATATTATAAGAAGGAATTAATTACTGGGAGCTCTGCTCAAGTATTCTCAGTGTTACATTTAGTTGAACCTTACTCAAAATGAGATTCTTTGGGCAGGATTGGTACGTGATGCACTTACGTCACATATGTCCAGTGGGTTTTTTTTTAAAAAAAATCAGTCTATTGTTCCACATCACAAACTGTTTTTCAATGTTCTCCCCTCTCCCCAGGTTTCAAAAGTGGTATGTTATAGCTGGAAAAATAGAGGCCTAAAGGGAGGGTTATGAGTGGGAAACAAACATATTTTTTTTTAAAAAGTCCAACAGACTCAGTAGCTAAAAAGAGTATTTACCTGGTACCAGAAATAAAGATCATGTGCCAGGCAAGTGCTAACAGGAGGACATTTCAAAGATGAGGAGCCACTTCAAAAAAGGTCCCGTATCTGGTAGCCACTTTCCTCACTTCAGAAGCTACAGACACATAGAGACCTTAATTGACAGATGGGCATACAATTGGATTGGGTGATCCCTTAGCTTCTCTGGTCCCCATACTTTTAGTTTTTTACAGATACTGATCAGTGCCTTTGAATTATGCCAGAGAACAAACAGATAGGCAATTTAGTTCTTTTAACATCAAGAACACACGATTCCAGTAATTTGCACTTGTTAAGCGGTCCAGATGCTGCCTTTTGAATCTGTTTAAGATAAGTATATAATAAAATGTATGTATGCTGCTGGTTTTACACACACACATATACATACGTGTGTGTGTAAAATCAGCAACACTTCTTTGCCATTGTGGTTGGCTAACTCAATTGCTATACATCCCTGAATCAATAGTATATTTTTGTGCTAACAGAGAATTCCTTCTGGATATTTAATTTTATTTGACATGCATAATTAATTTCCCTGCATATTATATGGTCTCTTTTCCTTCTTCAGAGACTGCATGAAAATGGGTGACGTGGATGGCAAAAAGATTGGATGTACTGTCAGCTTGTTGGTACGTACCTTCTTCAGCTTAAGGCATCTTGGTTTTTCATATTAAAGTTCTGAGTGCTATGCTAAGGAGTGTGTTTTTAACCCACTCAGATTTCTATGTAAAATTCGTGTGTCAAGCTTAACACATTCAAAACCAATCTATAATCATGCCCTATTTATAGCATGTTTAAATATGAATTGACAAGCTGGAAACAATATAGCTACCCAGTTATCAGTTATATTACATGATCTGGTACAGCAATGGATTAAAAATTAGGAAGTGAAAATAACAAAGCTTCTGAGCACTTCTCTTGCTTTATGTTCTGCTCTGCTTATCCCAGGGGTCTTTTTGTAGAAAAAGAGCTGCAGGAGCTCATTAGCATATGGTATGCTAATGAGCGACTAGGCTATTAGCATATGTCACGCCCCCTGACATCACCGAAAGTGATGTCAGAAGGGGAAGCAAAAGGGGGGGAGGCATCTTCAAAAGCCTCCCCTTCCCTTCCCCAGCTGGCCTGCGGGGGGGGGAAAGGAGGAAAAAAGAAAAGGGAAGAAGGCGGGAAAGAAAGAGAGAGAGAAGAGAAGAAGGTGGGAAAGAAAGAGAGAGAGAAGGGAAGAAGGAGGAAAAGAGGAAAAGGAGAGAAGGAAAGGAGGGAATGAATGAAAGAGAGAAGGAAAGGAGGAAAAGAGAGGAAGGAAGGAAGAGAAGGGAAAGAAAAGGAAAGGAGGGAAAGATAGCAAAGAGAGGGGGGAGGGAAGCTGTCCCACCACCCCCCATCAAGCCCGCACCACCCCCACCACCCGGATCCATTACTTATCGCTTTGGTGGGGGCCGGGGAAGCCGGTGGCAGGTCTCTCCGGGCATCCCCCGAGCTGCAGCACTTCTGCGCGGCCCGGGGGACCCGGCGGCAGGGCTCTCCTGGCATCCCCCAAGCCACAGTGCTTTCGGCGCGGGGAGCTGGGGGTGGGGCTTGCTGCCGCCACCATTTGCGTGGGCTCCTGGACTGCTGGAGCAGCGCTCTGGCGTGCTCCGGCCCCAAAAGACTCCTGGCTCATCCTATCAGTAGAGTTCGTAGGATGGAAATAGGAAATGGCTTCTTCTGGAAGCCTTCTTCCTTGTTATCTGCAGTATAGCATTGCCCGACTACTGCTGCTTGGTTGGTCTTTCTGGGATGGATTTGACAGGTGCAGGAAAATCGATGTCTATTGTTCAGGGGTAAACAATGTGACAAAAGAGACCTGTTTTTATTTTACTTCCCTTCAAGGCTTAAGGGAACAAAAGTGCAACCAGACACACAATGTATAGTACCAGGAAAAAATGTGTATTCCGCAAAAACATCTGTGCTGTTAAAAGTACAAGTCATGGAAAAGTTGTATCACGTTACGTGATGTAGAAAGGGGCAGTGGAAAGTAAAATGAGCGGTTCGGGATCCTCTATAATCCCAGATTCTGATTGAGCAATCCGATTTCTCCTCGCCTTCCCAAAGACACTCACTGCAGACTGAGCTGCTGCTCTCCACGCAGTATTCACCTGTGTCACCAAGACGAAGGAAATCATTCTTGAATGTACAGATCATGTGAAGTGTGTCAGAGCTATGGCAATGGCAGGCTGGTGCTTACACAAGGAAAATACGTTGGTGCATGCTAGCATTCCAAACTACATTTTTGAATTACAATGACATGATATTGTGCCATTCCAAATTTTCCTTTTAAAAATCCATTTTCCTGGAGTCCACTTTTCAGACATGAAACAGTAAGGGGGTGCTTATTAATTAATTAATCTAGGAGATGCTTATGCTGCTTCTCCGGAGCCCTGCTGAAGGTGGTTTACACTATCAAATAATCAGAAGATATTAATATAAAAAGGGCTTTTTACAACTTGACCTTCGGGACTGTGTTTTCCGAGCAAAATGCTCTCCCCACAACTGCCTTTCTCCATCTAGGGGGAAAAGATACATAAATTCAGTATTTATTTTTTTCCCGGAAGGGAGAAAAGCAGAACATTTGTATTTCAGCACAGAATCATCTCAGCCATCACAACGTGGCTTTCAGTTGTGAGCCCTCAGATGTGGGCAGTTTGGCACTTAGTTCGATTCAGTTATCTGTAAACAACTGTGGTTTGATGGGTCAGGGGACATCCCAGTCTGTCTCCTTGGACTGTGGGTTGCTAGCATTGTTTTGCAACAAGATTCTCATTCCTACGTATTGGAGAGCCATGTCTTATCACATACGCTTTGCATGTCAGAGGTCCAGGTCTAATACCTGGCATCTCCAGCTAAGAAGATCAGCAGATGCCAAGAAAGGCTTTTTCTTCATTGGACCAGCCTGACTCCACAGCTTCATATTTTGACATGGAAGTTGTAGCTGGATGCTGAACACAAGCAACTGAAATATCAGGGGAGAAAAAGTGTTTCTGTAACTCTGCTGGAAGCACCATTATTTTGCAGCATTACCCCAGAGAGCTGGTTTGCACATATTTTTGTGAGGTGCTTATACAGCTGTAGTCAGCTTTTCCCCCCACAATGACTTTGTAATTAGGATGTTCCACTAGATTTGTGGGCATAAAGTAAACAATGAAAAGTAAGTTCTTTTACTGTTTAAACACAGATTTGAAATGTTTTGCTGTTTGCTACCAACAGGCTCTTGAAATGGCAAAAAAGTAAAAATCCTTACTATAACAAAAATGGCATAACGTTGTGCTTATTATTTATTAGAAAATGTATATGCTGCCCCTCCAGAACTGGCTTAATGAAGTTCACAAGGAAAAAATAATAATAAAAGTATAGCACAGAAACAAGCCATAATACTAAAGCATAAAATATGTTTTAGCCTCCCAACAACCTGATGAATAAAGCTAGGCTGAATATAACTTGTCCAAGCATTTACAGCTGGACAGGAATTTTAACCTGTGTTTGCCAAATCCAAACCCAACATTGCCATTCTTGGAATCAATACAGTAAACTTTTGGTCCCTGCCAATTTCCATATTTCTTACAATTTATTGTTTATTTAAGGTATTACTTATCCCACTTTGGAGCAATGCTCCCTCTAAGCTGTGGAGTCTTGTGAGCAAAAATGTTACTTTGTTAGCTACTGGCATTAAAGTTGTGAGCGAGCGATTTGGCTACTGCATAAATTAGTTCGGTCTGGAGCTATCTTTCCTGAGCTAAGACAAAAATGTGTGAGCTGGAGGCTAAAAAACTGTGAGCTAGCTCACACTAACTAAGCTTAGAGGGAACACTGCTTTGGAGACGACCCCCCCCCAAAAAGAAATAGCCAATACGGTATAGTGGTTAGAGTGGTTAGGATCTGTGAGACCCAGGTTCAGATTCCCCCTCAGCCATGGGAGTTTGCTGGGTGATCTTGGGCCAGTCACATGCTCTCAGCCTAACCTATCTCATAGGGTTCTTGTGAAAATCAGACTATTTCAAGAGGTAGCCTCTTTGGCATAAATGGGCCACCTTAAAGGTTATCTGCCATGTAAGTTCAAATGGAACGCAAGATGGCGCAATGGAGCTGACAGAATGTTCACAAAGGTTCAGACTTTTATGCTTTTTGTTTGAAGAGCCAAATTGGCTCTTAAGCATTTTCTTAACAGCAAGAGCTTGTCAGAGTATGAAGTACAAAGCCTTGGTGACATTTTAATTGGGGGGGGGGTTGGATTCCTTGGCTCAGGCTGCTCTTTTCTTTTCAACTCACCACATGGAAACCATCAGTGTGGACTCATACTTCACCATTCAGAATGCATGTGGAGAACTTCACCTGCTTCCCCAAATACCTCAAATTAGGTTCTCCTGATGGGCACGTAGGCACAGCTTTGTAACTCAGCAAATCTCTTTGAGCTGCAGCAACACAATCACACTTTATAGGACTAAAAGATAGCAGTGCTAAAATGGGTTTGATTATATGAATTGACCTTTTCAGTCTTCAAACATGCATAATATAGCTTTTCTACCAGCTGGTTGTGGTTTATATGAATACAGTACAAAAGAGGGATTTTTGTTAGTATCACCGGCTGGAATGATAAGTTGTTTATCTTTCAAAGCATGCTGGTTTTGGAGGGCCGAAGCCAAAGCTGTCTGCAGAATGACTACAGAGAACTGGCATTTCAGTCCAGATTGATTTAATCCAGAGCTTTGTGGCCCACATTTGTTAATGCATTTCCACATTTTCTCGGGCAATAAAAATCACATTCAGGAGGAGGAGGGGAGATAAGCCAGCCTTCCAAACTGTGGGTCTATAGCATTTCCAGATAGGGCCAGATCCTTCCTACCCAAGGAGAGATAGCAACCTGGGTGCCTGAATGGTTT